CGTGATTTAAGTTCAATCGTTATACCGATAAATACCGCCTACCGATTTAGCCTCTAATATTTGTATTTCGTGGTTCAACCGCCGGTACGATATGGTTTCATGGAAACTGATAAATACCCCTCCTCCCCTTCCTTTTTCCCTTCCACAGAGAACAAACAAGCTAAGCAATCAATAACACACAGAAAAAGAAAAAATTATAGTTTTCGATCTCTACCCTTGCAATTAGCATTTCTTCCGCTTTTTCCATTTTCCGATTCTGGTAGTGAAACCAAATTATCACAGATATGCAGGCTCTATCACCACCTCCGTCGTCGCTCAACTCCTCGATAGTCGGGACCAGTCGCCGCCGCCGTCCCCCCACCGGCCCACTCATTGCTCAAACTTGTATAACCTAATTCGACTAATTTTGTTTCATTCCAAGTCCAATCATCATATTCTCGTTCTAATGCCGAACCCTGCCGCAGCGGGTACGATTCTGCGTTGTCCGATTGCAAAGCGGGAACTGTAATTTCCACGAACTCCGCTGCGGAAACCAATCGGCGGAGTGGCAGCCGCAACGCGATTGGTGATAGTAGTAGTCCGGGGTGAGAGGAGACGAGTCCCCACTCGACGACAACGGAGAAGGAGGTGGAGAGACGGTTTTGAGTGATTTCGGCGGCGATAGAACCGCCCTAATCTTGGCACCGGGACAACACCTGTCGTACTCCTCGATTTCGGCGGCAATGGTGGGTGATGAGATCTGATAGCGATGGGTAATTAACTTTATTTTATTATTTTCTATCTAATTTACCCTGTTACCCTTAATGAATTTTGTTGTTATTTTTGGACTGGAAATCTGGTTCATTTCATTAGGAAATTAGGGCCCAAGACCCTTATCAGTTTCAATCATACAACTCAGAGATAGTGGAGGGTTATCAACCCAAACCACTTGTTGATCCCACCCCAACCCAATATGAGCTAACCAGTGGGCCACAGTATTAACTTTTCTTGGCCTAAACTCCCATTTCACTTCTCTTCCCGGCAGAGACATATTCGATCTAGCCAACCATTTCAGTTCCTCACACCAGAAACCTAGCTCGGTACAATCATCCTCATTTCTCTTCAATTGATTCACCAAAACCTGGCAGTCAGTTTCAACGATCAAGGGGCTAAGCTCCCTCCGATTCGCCTCTCTCATGCCCATAACCAGAGCCTTTGCCTCAGCTTCAATGGATCTGCAAACCCCTTTTTCCCTTCTCGCCATCGCCCCTACAAAATCTCCCCGCCAATCGCGAATAATGCATCCCAGGCCGATCCCTTGGTCATTGATTACCCCAGCATCGGAGTTCAGTTTGTAAAGACCCTCTGGCGGCGGAGTCTAGCGGCTATCTTGATCTGAGCGATCTCCCATCAAGGCACTCCTGGAGTTTGGGCACGAGGAATCTTGAGCAGACAGGAAGGCCGAGAGCCAGCCCAAAGCACGAGGGATAATCTCCTCCTCTTCCAACTTCCGATTATTGAATTTGTGATTGCAACGCTCCTTCCACAGGTACCATAAGATTGAGCAGAACCTTTGTATTCTATCTTCTGTAAAATCTTCCAAAATATCTTTAATCCACTCAAAGCTCGACTTCCCCTCGCCCCTTTCAAACATATCCTTCTCCTCACAGTTTCTCCATCTTCTTCTAATCCAGTCACAGTCCTGGAGAGCATGCAGCTGCGTTTCGGGGAGACTGCAAAAAGGACACTCGGGAGTGACCCTATCTATCCATTCCTCGACTTGAACTCCCACAAGTAAGATGTTCTTACACACTTTCCATAGAAAGATTCGGACCTTAGGCTGAATGTGAAGATTCCAGATGGTTTTCCACACTTTAGAGTCTTCAGGGTCAAGATAATGAGAGCGAGATAGGTGGCCAGACTGTTTGCTTCGAATGAGGGTGTAGGCAGACTTAACTGAATAGATTCCTCTTTCTAAACCTTTCCATATTCTAGCGTCAGGCTTGAGGGGGAACTTGAGGGGGATTCTTGAGATAAGGATCTGATCTTCCTTAGAAAACAATTCCTTTAGCTTTTCCACATCCCATCCCCCTGAACTGACATCAATTAGGGAGCTCACGGGGGCCTCAGGGAGGATCCCATTTGGAATGGGGTCAGGCTGGAAAAAACTCTTCCCAGGGATCCATTCATCACTCCCCATGTTGATTGATTCCCCATTACCAACTCTCCATCTAAAACCATCAGTAATAACTTCTTTTGCAGCAAAAATAATTTTCCAAAAGTAGCTCGGTTGGAAGCCAAGCTTAGCCTGTAAGATGTCGGTTTTGGGAAAGTAGCGAGCCTTTAGAACTGTAGCCATAAGAGAGTGAGGTCTGCTTAGCACATTCCAAACATGCTTTCCAAGCATTGCAAAATTGAAAGCCTTGAGATCCCTGAAACCCATTCCTCCTTCCTCTTTACTGTCACACAACTCATCCCACTCAATCCAGTGAATTTTAGATTCTTTTCCTTTCTGGCCCCACCAGAAATTAGAAATTAATCTCTGAATATCTTTTAAAGTACCTTCTGGGACCTGGAAAACAGACATAGGATACAAGCATTGAGCTTGGGCAACAGCCTTAATAAGAATCTCCTTTCCAGCCTGAGACATAGTTCTGCTCTTCCAGTCTTTGAGCTTCTTGCACACTCTTTCTTTAATTTCCTCAAAAATAGCCTTTTTTTATCTTCCCACAACAGTAGGCAGTCCCAGATATTTAGAATGCTTATCCACTTCCTTAATTCCAAGAGTACCACAGATTTCCAGCCTCCTACTGATTCTCACATTTTTACTGAAGGAAATTTCAGATTTAGAAAGGTTGATCGACTGGCCAGATTCCTTAGCATATATCTCCAGAATTCTTTTAAGCTGGTCACATTCCTTAAGGGTAGCTTTTCCAAAAATAACACAATCATCAGCAAATAGGAGATGGGAAATGGTGGGGGCCTTCTTCCTAATCTGTACACCATGTAACTTACCATCCAATTCCGCTTTCTTAATTAGAGCAGTGAGGCCTTCAGCACAAAGGAGGAATAGGTAGGGGGATATGGGATCACCCTGCCTAAGTCCCCTTGAGGGAATAAAACGTTCAGTCTTGTGGCCATTAACCAGGATTGAGTAGGAAACAGTAGACACACATTTCATAACCAAATCAACCCATCTATCCTCAAAACCAAGTTTTAACATCACCTTCTTCAAGAAATCCCATTCCACTCGATCATAGGCCTTGGCCATGTCGAGTTTAGCTGCATAGAAACCATCCTTAGCTTTCTCTCTTTTCTTCATATACTGGAAACATTCAAAAGCCACTATCACATTATCAGTAATAAATCTACCAGGGACAAAGGCACTTTGTTCCTCAGAGATTAAATCATCAAGAATCTGCTTTAGTCTATTGGCCAGAACTTTTGAAATGATTTTCTAAGGTACTCTGCAGAGACTAATAGGCCTGAAATCCTTAGCAGTAGAAGGAGTTTTCACCTTAGGAATGAGAGCAATAAGGGTGTGATTAAGATCCTCAGGAAGGCTCCCCTGATTGAAGAAAATTTGGACAGTCTCCACCATTTTAGGACCAATAGTATTCCAGTTCTTTTGGAAAAACCTGCAGAGAAACCATCCGAACCAGGGGCTTTAAAAGGCCCCATTTGATCAAGGGCAACCTTAATTTCTTCAGTAGTTACAGCCCTAAGAAGTTTATCATTCATAGTAGGGGTCACTTTTCTTTGTAAAGCTTGAATCACAAGATCTGAATTAGGGAGAGTACCTTTTTTGAAGAGCTCTTTGTAGTACCCAACAATGCAAGAAGAAACTTCTTTTTGACCTTTAAATAATCTACCCTGCTCATCTCTCAACATTTTGATAGTGTTCCTTTTTCGTCTGGCAGTAGCTTTAGCATGAAAGAATTTTGTATTCTTATCACCCCCTCTTAACCAATCAATTCTAGAGCGTTGCTTCCATAGCTCCTCTTCTTGCTGAATGAGTTCACCTCTTTCCTTCTCAAGGGCCCTCCTCTGTTCGAGAACAATAGCAGTCCTAGGTTTAAACTTGAAAGTTTTGAGGAGTTTCTCAATTCTCTCGATCTTCTTCCTTATATCTCCAAACTTTTTGTTGCTCCAATTTAGTAAGTCAGCTCTACATTTAGAAAGCACAGAGAGGATATCTTCATTTCCATTCGAGTTGCACGCCCTTTCCACAATTGCCGCACTTTCAGGGTCTTTAAGCCAAAAGGGTTCCACTCGAAAGTACCACCCCCATTTTATCTCTTCCTCATCCCTTCCTTCAGAGTATAACATTATAGGACAGTGGTCAGACCCACATCTATCCAGGTGCAACACCTGATGGTTCGGATATGATGCTTTCCATTCCCAGCTAGCCACACATCTATCTAATCTCTCTTCAATGAAGCCTTCATTGGCTCTATTATTCTCCCATGTAAACGGATATCCATTAAAGCCGCAGTCCAAAAGGCCACACCACTCCAAAGCTTCACTAAACTCCATAGCTTGGTGTTCATCAATGCTTCTCCCCCCTCTTTTCTCATTTCCTGAGAGAACCTGATTAAAATCACCAATACAGACCCAAGGAAGAGGACAACCATTCTTAAGGTTCCTAAGAAGATCCCAAGACTTAAATCTTTCGCCCTGTTCAGCCCATCCATAGAAACCAGTCAGCCTCCATCTATTACTCCCCTCCTCATTACTCACAAGGGCATCAATATGGTGCAGTGAGGAGGTAATTTTAACCACAGAAACACTTTCATTCCACAGGAGACATAGGCCACCAGCCTTCCATCCCTTATCGTTTCTTGCTGCTTCACCACATCCACCAGAATATCCCAACTTCCTCTGAATCTCCTTCCATCCACCCTCATCCTTACGAGTTTCCATAAGAAACACCAGATCAGGTTGCTGTTTTTGGATCAGCCTTTTCAGTTTAGCAACTGCCGAGGTGCTGCCCAAACCTCGACAGTTGTAGCTTAGGAGCTTCATTGGGCTCGGCGGCCTTGCTCCTTGGCAAGGACCGCCTCTTCGCCATCCACATTAGAGTAAAGGTAGTCTCTAGGTCGTTTATCACTCACAGGGTTCTCATCAATATCCATATCCTCAGGAGTTCCACGTTTGCCTATTTCCAATTTTGTTTGCTCCTTTGGTTGATTCTCAAGGTTCTTCCTTTCCAATCTGTGCCATTTCTTTTCATTCTTAGCTGGGTTTCTATATTCAATTGCAAGAGTTTCGACTTGATTGTCATGACCTCCTTTTCCAGTCTCCTTAGGATTATCTGTTGGCTTTGTCAAAACTCTGTGTTGATCTTCCTTGGGAGCTTGAACTTGTACCCCATCAGTCTTAGGTTCCTTCTCTTTTTCACCAGAAACATTCACAATTGCTTGAACAGGATCATTTACTTTAATAAACAGCAGGCTCTCAGAAAGCTCTTCAGCTTGCTCTACCGAATTTTTAGGCTCTTCATCCTTCTTTTGTTTCGAGATTCTTTCAGACTGAACTTCTTCCCAAAGCTTTGACAGCTGTTGTGATTTCTCCTTTTCCTTAATGGAAAGCTTTTTAAGGGGTGAGTCAGCTCTCAACCAAGATCCATAAGGATCATTATCATCAGTCTCACTGTTCTGGCCTAAGGGGCAGGATCTCTTAAGATGGCCAAGAGTGCCACACTTGAAGCAATAGATGGGAAGTCTTTCATAGCCGACCTTGTATGAGATAGGGCCCTCCTTGCTCTGCATCTTAACTATTCTTCTTAGTGGTTTTTGAATTGGTATCGAGACTCTCACTCTCAGGAATTCACTGCTGACTCCAGAATGTAATTCATCCCAACGAACGAGTGTTGTTATTCTATCCGAACCCGTCATTGAGAGCCCCCGAAATTTGTGAGATCATGTGTTATTGGGCCTGTTCGCATAAGCTCAAAACCGGCTCTTGTGAGAGACCAATTTCATTGTACTTGAGGAGATTGAAAATATATATAACACATTCTTCATACTCCCTAACAATAGTTATCCTAAAAAGGAAAAGGTTACAAACCATGTTGAAGACAGTAAAAATAATGTGCATATATAAGCCTTTACAGGGTGAGGTAATATGTCTTCGAGTCGATGTCAAATAATTTGTATTCAAGTTATAACAAGAGGGTATAAGAAAGTGCTATGTCTAAGGTGGATATAAGGACATACCTATTGCCTAACATTGCCTAGACGTATTTAATTGTTGGCAGCAAACGTAACAAAATGATGTGATTATACACAATTATAAGTTTATGAACTAATATTATCGCTTTGACCTCTTATCTCTAAATTTTCATCAAGAAAACATGGTAAGGTGCAAATATAGTGTGACAATGAATAGGAAAAAATGACGTAGCAGATTGAAAGAGAAGAAGAGGGAGCAGACGAAGAAAGAAAATTCTCTAAAGACGGTAGTCTCTAATTTTGTCCTAGCAGCTGCTAGTGCTCGGGAACAGAGGAGAAAATGGGAGTAGCTAGGGTCTCTATTTCTCTACAACATAGCAAAAAATTAAGAGGGATATGGGATATATTGTGGTGTCGCTTTGAGCCGAATTTGAAAATTTTGAAATTGCATCAAATATACACTCGGAAACTTACCATCCAACATGTCTCAACAATGCCTAGATGTCACCGAACGCCGCCACCTCGCTCGAGTGCCTAGTAGGGGGAGTCCTATACATACCTTTTTAATGAGTAACCATGCATAACCCAATCAGCATCCGCTACATCAACGTCTCTTCTCATTCCTGTAAAATTTTTAATTTTTTCCCTCGTAATCTTTAACGGACGATTTCTCACTCGTTTTAAGTCAGAATTTAAATTTTTTTCTACAGCTTGATCAAATTAATTGTGCTCTTCAAAATGATATCCACTTTGATATATTTTTGGAACAAAAAAATTGAGCCATATTTTACCAGTATATACCTTATGGTATTGACTGGTATTAAATAACAACATATCATATGGTATGAAAAAGCTTATCATTGTAGTATGAACATACCAAGACTGTAGGATGATTGGATACATGATAGTAGGATTATACTGTCATTGATGACTTTCAACATTGTGTGCCACAAGATACCACCCCGTACCAGCGTGGTATTAGGTGGGATTGTGGTATTTTTTGGTCATGTATTTTGTTCACCCAGAAATTTGTACATCCAATAGATCATGATGAGCTCGTTCCTTCAGTGCAGAAAATTTGAAAATCGACTTTAAAATGAAAATGATATCATATGGTATGCAGTTGGTAACAAGAGACAAGAAATATTTTTCTCAAAAATATTGAAAATGGATCTCATTTTGTAGAGCACAACGAACTCGTTTCATCTGTGGAAAAAAATGAACTCCGAGTTAAAACAAAGAATATATGAGCCGATTAAGAAAATAAGAGAACATAAAAATGCTTTTAATTTTCCACCTTAAATCTTAATTTTCTGGGCCCACTTAAATCTAATGACTAAGATTTAGTTACTCATATGAGTAACCATGTGATTACTGACGTGAACTTGAGCCCTAGCAGAGGCAGAGGAAGAGTAGAATGAGGTGGCCAGGTGGGTGGCATGGGAGGTTTAAGTAAAATATATGTTAATTAATTAATTGAGGTTGTTACTTAATATATTTTTTTTACCGAACTCAAGCTAATTTAAGAAATGAATTTACGCCCAATTGTATATAATAATTTATAATTTCTCTATAAATAATATTTTTAACATTTTTTCAACTAAGGCACTGTTATTTTGTGAAATAAAGTTATGGTCAATAGTATATAATATGTAGTTTATAATTTTTTTCACATTTTACACACCTATCTATTATCTTAATAATTTCTCTAAATGGTTATTTACCCTAATAAATTGTTCAGAGATCACACTTTGAAATTGAATTGAATATCATAATCATAAGGATTATTTTGCATGATATATTGAGAATCATATCCTGAATAATTTGAATAATAATAGTATTTTATAAATCGTCTTCTGATATAAGAATACATTATGAGTGATAAAATTGATAATACATACTTTTATCATATATTTTTTAAAAATATATCAAATCCAATTTACAAAGAATTGGCAGTATTTTAGCGATTTTTAATTGATAGTGATGGCCGAATTTTAGTAACCATCACTACTAACAATAGTAAACTATAAATGAAAAAAATTACTACCAACAACAATGTAAATGGCATTGAAGATCATGGAGGTGCTGTAAATGAGAAAAAGAACTAAATAGGCAGAGCTTCCTTTCACTCAGCTCGGTATCAAGCAACATACTCAGCGATGTTGTTTGTCTAAGTGGTTAATGACTGTCACATCATGTCTTGCAGTTATTTGTTAAGTTTAATTGTTTACTGTTACTTAGCTGTTAATGTACAGTTAAGTACTCTACTCCATATATATAGAGAGAGAAATCCCATAGAGGATAGGTCATGATGCCAATTCCCACCATGGCTTGAGTTTCTTTCTTCCTTCTGCTTTCAGAAATCCTAGCTCACAATTCCCACTATGAAGATCCCTACAACAATCCCATAAACCTTACGTAGAGTGATAACTCGTTACTGCCGGTCATTAGTTTCAAGCTGAATGATGACAATTATTTGTCATTAGATTTTTTCCTAGGCAAGATTCAGGTACTTGATATTATTGACCCTATGTATGTACTTGGGATCGTGTGAATGGAATTGTGGTACCCAGTTTGAGATAGTACCTACCAATACCTTATTGTGATTGTGCTTCCAAAACCTATGAGATTGTCATCAAGTACAGGAACTGGGGAAGGTAATCAGATTCTTGCTGGAGTTGAATGAGAGGTATCAACAGTTAAGACCAAAATGTTAATGTTGGATTGAGGAGATAGTACCCAATTTGAGAAACATCAAAGTTGCATATGAAGCATGGAATTACCTTAGGTCTACGCTTATATAAGGAAACTCTGTAAGAATAGCTAAGTTATAGGAGAAAATTGATGTTGCTAAGCAAGGGAATCAAACCATTAGGCAATATTATGTTGCACTCAAGATATTATGGGATGAACATAATAGTTACCTACCAATACCTTATTGTGATTGTGCTTCCAAAACCTATGAGATTGTCATCAAGTACCAGGAACTGGGGAAGGTAATCAGATTCTTGCTTGAGTTGAATGAGAGGTATCAGCCAGTTAAGACCAAAATGTTAATGTTGGATCGCCTGCAAGATTTTGACAGTGTGTATTGGTCTGTTATCCAAGTGGCGAGGCATTTCAATGGAGGCAGTGGCCACACTGGAAATTCAGATTAAATAAATGTTCTTGTTGTTGTTCTTGCTGCCACCAGAACTCAGTATAGACAACCTAAGAATCAGGGTCCTAAAGAAGGACAATAGGAGAGTGGAGGCTTGTTCTGTAGATATTGTAAAAAGGAAAACCATGTCATAAAAAATTGATGGAAGCTAAAGAAGAAGAACAAAGAAGGTGGAAGAGGAGGTAGAAGTTTTGCTAGTTATGTGGATGTGACTATGGCTGAGAAACTTAATTTGGCAGGTGGTGGTTCCTCCTATCCATTTGACAATCCAAGGAGTAATCGAGAGATTCTTAATAAGTTCTCTGGATTTATGATAAAATAACTTCACTGCCTCAAAGCATTGCTGCAGAGTCCATAGCAGCCAACATCTCCTTCATCAATGGCTAATTCTACAATCCCAAGAACACCTCTTTGTCATGTATTAGTGTACTGTCTACTTTAAATCAACCAAACAATGATTAAATTTGGGTGCATTAAGTTTTCCATAGATGTAAGGAAGTTAATCTGTGTGTAACTCTTCCAACAAGACAGGAAGCTGCAGTAACTCACATTGGAATTGTTAATCTGTTGTCAGAACAGAAGCGTGCAATCGATAATCCAAACCAGCACGAACGAACACAAATTTAACGTGGTTCACTAACACAATGTGTGCTAGCTAATCCACGGGCAAGGGAGAACAAATTTCACTAATTTGAGGAGAGTACAGGTTACAAACCAAATTCCAAACGGACAAACCAAACAAACTAACCTGACTGACCTTACTACAGACTAGGGTGATGAAGAGTATTTATAGAACTCTTCTCCTAATCCCAACCAGAAAACCAAACACCTTTTCCCAAACATACAAGGAAAAGGTCAAAACAAAACCCAATCCCAAACCCAAACAGAATAGGCCTAAAACACAAAACAAACCCAAATCAAATTCAAGTCATATTCTAACAATCTCCACCTTGACTTGAATTCTCTCTCAAATACCTGATGTACCAGACGCAACCAAAGTTGCCAGATGTATATGCAATCAAAATTTCCAGACGTACTGACTCCTCCAAATCAGTTGTACCAGAATCTCCCCTACTTCCAAATGCCCCTAAGGGCGGTCCACAACTCAAACCATTTGGCAAGTCCAACACATGTTGAGACTTGTAATTCAGAACTAGCTTGGTGCACTTATCACCAACAGAAAATGTCAAAACAGAACCTTGTAGACTATACAAGGCACCCTGATTGACACCTTTCAAAATTACCTTAGAACCCTTGTAGACATATATCACTCCACCTTCACCTTTGAAACTGAAACCCTTGTCGTCGAGTAGACTCAAAGACATCAGATTCTTAGTCATTTCTGGAATATGCCTAACATTGTTCAAGGTGCGAACAGAACCATCATGTGTTCTCATCCTGACGGAGCCTCTTCCAACAATCTTACAGACAACACCATTGGCCATAGAAACATGTCCTCCATCTATCTGCTCATAAGTTGAAAAACACTCCCTGCTTGGACACATATGATAATCAGCTGCAGTATCTAAATACCACACATCCTGATAATGTACCTGTTCATTCA